TGCCGCCAGACTCCATCTGCACGGGGACGAGAGACAACGCCGTGGTTACGTCTTCTCTCTCTCCGAGCCCGCGGGACAAAGTCTGGACAAACATGTTTCTACATTTTCTTATTATTATTATTATAATTGAAACGGCTGCTCTGCATTGAGGTCATCGGCGTGCATGAATCCAAAATGAGAAATGAATGAATCCTTTAGGCCGGATGCAGGATGCAAATACTCTTTGAAGTGCAGCATTGTGCTCCGGCAACGTGAGATCACATGATTAGTGACGCAGAATGTGGATCCCAATCATCACTCAGTCCGCTCTCCTTGGGTTGTATTCCAGACCTCCACCCACGAAGCAGCAGTGTTTACAGGACATCCACAATGTCCACCACTGGTCCACACAGAAAAGCCTCTAACCGTTGGATGGACATGAAGCGATGTACAAACACAGACGTGTTGTACCGCTGGAGGGAGCGAGGATCCCGTTGGAATGAGCCTCTCACATCAGGTCGGGTCGACATTCTAATTTGTTGAATATTTCCTGAGTGGCTGAAAAACGAATGGCGTTCCTGTGAGCCTCAGCTGCACCCGGTGTTTAGTGCTAATGAGCTGTTAGCACGCCAGGACGCTGGAACTACAGCTGTTAGCATGAGCACGTTAGCATGAGCACGTTGTCTCCTTTCCTTACTCCTGGTATCAGAGTTGTTAGATATTTTCTTGAGGATCTCATTATATTTCAGTCTTTCATTCTGATTTCTAGAGATGACGCACATTTAGATGCATGCTGCTATGCCGACTTCATCACACCGCCTGGATAGAACCTCGCCGGGTCCTCGCGGGCCGTGATGTTTAAAGGGATCACCGGGGAAACGAGACGCGGCCCTCGGGCACAATACTTACAAAGGACTTGTTCATGGCTCGCTTGACCTCGTCTGTGCCATCGCAGTAGATCTGCTGGAAGAGCTTGTTGAGCGCGGCGTCTCCCTCCAGCTTCTCGCTTTTCTCCTCCTCGCTGATGTCCACCACCATCTTGTCCCATTTGCAGGCGCGAGGGTCAGTCGACGAAGGGCACCGACCTGACGGGAGACGGTTTGTTAGAGGCGCGACGCAAAACAGCATCTAACTCACACCAACTGAACTCACGCCGCGGACGGATCACCCTGCGATTCCATCTCTATATTTCCCGGATGCATCCCGCCCACTATAATCCCAACAAGAGCCGGAGAGCAGCAAATGTAATCCAGATTACATAAACACAGCAGACGTAAGTGTGGACATACGTGAAGTCAGGTATCACGTTGCTGTGGAGCTGGTTGCATAGAAAGATGCTTAAACACACAGTAATCAGTCAGGATTAATCTGAGTGAGTCCTCTTTCCTCTCCCTGTCCTTTCGCCATCCGATTAATAAAAGGCTCGCTCTCATTTTAGTGGCGAACAGACGAAACAGGAAGAGACAGAAAGAAGAAAAGACGGCGATGGAGTTTGGAATTGTGGTGGACTGACTTGGATTGAAGTGTTTGATGTTGGACTCCTGTCCCTCTCCCTCCAGCTTCTCCCATCTGATGCCATCGGTCTTCTTCAGCTTGAACTCCACCTGACGAAGAAGAGAAGGGCGATGAGAGCGCAGAAGAAGAAGAGAAAGAGAGAAGAAGAAGAGGAAGAGAGAAGAAGAAGAGGAAGAGGAAGAGAGAAGAAGAAGAGGAAGAGAGAAGAAGAAGAGGAAGAGGAAGAGAGAAGAAGAAGAGGAAGAGAGAAGAGGAAGGTTAACTAAATGATCTGCTTGGTTTGCGTGGGACAAAAATAACGCTTCCATTAGAGAGACACCCTCAAAGTACAGGACATCAGATCATTATTCAGCCAGAGAGGCTGCGTGTGCGTGTGTGTCTGTGTGTGTGTGTGTGCGTGCGTGTGTGTGTGTGTCTGTGTGTGTATGTGCGTGTCTGTGTGTGTGTGTGTGTGTGTGTGTCTGTGTGTGTGTGTGTGTGTGTGTGTGTGTGTGTGTGTGTGAGATCAGGGGCATGCGGGGGCACACCTCAATCTCCAACCTCACTGACAGACATACTGCACTAAC